TTGTCATTAGGTGAGATGACAAATTCTGAACCATACAAAAGAGGTAGAATTACAGACTTGCCCTTATTATTGATACTATTAAAGATTCTCCAGAAGTCACGAGAGCCTCATTTTTGAAATGAAATACAAGATTTTATGATCTGAGAATAGCGGGCTTTGGCGGTAGACAAAACCTTTTTACAATGGTTCCTAGCAGTAATAAACAGACGTCTGTTTTCTGGAGAATTGTTTTGCTGATAGATATGGAAGTAATGGTTTTGATTGGCAATTGCAGCATCACAATATGAGGAAAACCATGGAGAAGAGTGAGGCTTGACCTGGAATCGTTGAGAGGTAATAAAGGATTCGATGCCAGCCAGAATCCACGAAGTTATGTAAGAAAAACATTTGTCAACAGGAAGACGAAAAATTTCTACCCAAGGGCCATCACAAAGAAAATCACGGAAAGAGTCCCAGTTAGCTTTAAGGTAGTTGTAAGATGTATGATGATAGGGGGATTCTGATGGTAAAGAAGAATGAGATAATAGTTTTAGAGAGACCAAACCATGATCAGAAGCACCTAAGGGTGAGTGTGAAGAAACTGAGCACTGACTAGGATCAGAAACAAGACATAAGTCGAGTGGAGAAGGTAAATGATTCGGGTTGTCTGGAAAGCGATTTGGAAAGTTAACTATTTGAGTTAGGGATTAAGAAATGCAAAAGTTGTGGGCTTTAATGCCTGCAGAGTCACTGACACAAGAGCCAAGCCATTCAGTGTGATGAACATTAAAGTCACAGACAACAACAATATTGGTTGAAGAGAGAGGGCTTGGTCAATATTATCAGAAATAACATCAAGAAGAGTGCAGTGATGAGATGAAGGAGAGCAATATAGAACAAAAAGAAAGGTGATAGAGTGAAGTGGTGCTAAACGAAAGCACATAAAAGAATAGTCTGCGGATTCAAACCTAGTTTCCCAACAAATGGGTGAATTCTTACAAATTCACGAATGTAAATTATATTTGTGATTTACGAATGTAAATAATGAATAATTACGAATATAAATTACATTCGTGATTCGTAAATTTAATTCAGGAATGTAGTTTATGAATTTACAAATGTAAATGCCAAGGCCAAGCATGTGACTATTGGAGTCTTTACAAATTAAAGGAAGATAACCATCAACACTAAGATTCCAAGATGAGACAACTGAACTCAAATTAGTCACAGACAGAGCAAGTAGGTCTGGTGAACTTACCAAGAGATATGGCTCAACAGAAGAAAAGTTACTTCAAAGACCATGAATATTAGTGAATGATAGGTTTAGCAAACTTGGTGATGACAGTGGTTTTTGTGTTTTATAGCTTTTGTTACTTTATTCATTTTCAAATTTGTTAAAGAACTTGACTCAAAACATAGATAGTACTCACTACACTGTTTAATAGCCCAAGAAATTGCCTCATTACTATTTATAAGTCATTACTATTAATAAATTTAGGTGAATTACTATTAACAAATTTAGGTTACTAAATTACTATTAATAAATTAAGGTGAAATTTAGGTGAAACTATTAATAAATTACTACTAATTTTTTTCATTATATCATTACTATTAATAGATTTAACTCATTACTATTAATAAATTTAGGTTACTAAATTACTATTAATATATTAAGGTGAAATTTAGGTGAAACTATTAAAAAATTACCATTAATTTTTTCATTATATCATTAGTATTAATAGATTTAACTCATTACTATTAATAAATTTAGGTTACTAAATTACTATTAATAAATTTAGGTTACTAAATTACTATTAATAAATTAAGGTGAAATTTAGGTGAAACTATTAAAAAATTACTAATAATTTTTTCATTATATCATTACTATTAATAGATTTAACTCATTACTATTAATAAATTAAGTTTATTTACTTTAGTTAAGTTACCAATAAATTTAGTAAATTAATAACTACTATTAATAAATTTAGGTGAAAAACTAACTATTTTATAATTTTCTTATATATATCATGTATTTGGAAAAGTTGCGTATGTGAATTTTTTTAGCTATTTCTGCTTGAACCCACTCTTAAAGCAATTTATTTAGAAGTTTTTAAAATTATTTTATTTTACAAAATAATATTAAAGTTAGTAATGAAAGATTGGTATTGAATAGATAAGTATAGAAATGGTCGCAAGTCAAAAACTGCAATGCCCTGGAGAGAGAAATGTAGTCAGCCATTCTATTGATCTCTTTGAGTATTTTTATTACTTAGAATGAAAACCTGCCTGATTTTAGAGAAATGCAATCCGAATTTCATGAAATATAAAGCGTGTGAAACAGTTCCGTATTTTTTAATTTTCATCTTATGGTCTGGTTTTTTTCTACAAATTCACAATTATTTCTGCAGTCATAAATATAAATAATTTTAAAATTAAAAACTTATACAATTTGTTTTAACAAAAAGATATTTTAAAGTGAATTAGTTTTACCTTACTATTTTTTAACCTTTTATTGTTTTATGATATAAATAGTTTATTCGCCAGCTTAACAGATTTATTTACGGCTACAGCTATATGAAGCTCTTCAACATGATGGCACGAGGTTATCAAGAATAATGGCCAGTCAGGAAACTTAACTAATCTTGTACAAACCCCTTTTAAATAGCCAGGGCTTGAAATGGGTGAACTGCATGAGATCAAAAACAAATTTCTAATTGCTGTGTATTTAACGCTATTGTATTTAAAAACCATGTTTTTATATTTTCATATCAAATTTAAGTGTTTTTAAAATACAATCAATTAACAAAAATAATAGTAATAAAAATGTGTACAATGGGTATAAATAAAAAACCTTCCATTATTTGTAGTGACGTTATTATATAGTCAATGAATTGTAAATTTCTATTTGCGTCGATTGTTTGAAAATGTCATTAAAAACTCAAAAAATGTAAAAATGTTAAACTTTAAAAGAGTGGTACAAGTATAAATATCCAAAATAAAAAAATAACAAAATTTCAATAAGAAAACAAAACCTTGGAAATATTTTAAGACATTCCGCATATTAAAACTTGTTGGGGTCTTATCAGAAATTTTTTCAACAAATATATTTTTATTAAATTTTTTGAAGCATCTTTTGTAAGTTTTTACTTTTTTGGGGTGGTGGGGTATGCCAGGAATGCAAATAAATTCTGAAATGGGATGGACTAGTGTATTTGTTCACGAGCTTTAAACTTGCTTTACACAATTTCAAGAACTGAATGCTAAAAAAGTGAAAATGAATGCATTAACCCTGACCCTAACTCTAACCCTGACCCTAACCCATTGTCTTAAGAGAAACTTGGCAAACCCTTTTGCTACATTCATTGGAGAACTTTCAAAATGTTTGCTGCATCAGCAAACATTTTGAGTTCTCCAAAATGTTTGCTGATGCTAAAAAATACATCTTTTCATGTTTTAGGTAACAAACAGGAAAGGTGGTGTTGCTACCTAATTTAAAACTAACTATACAGCTCTTATCTTAGTTATCAAGTTACAGACTACCAACTACCTATTGTAAGCAAGCGAGTCTGGGGAAGTCATTTTATATTAGTTGGTGATTTCAACAGTCATCACTTGGTCAAACTCTGGTGGAGTTTGTAGAGCCTCTGCAAAAGAAGACTTAGACTTTCTTCATGTAGTGAATTCTAGATTGCAAACTCAACTTGTCCATGACACTTTCAGGTAATAATTTTCATGATCTAGTTTTAACTGAAAACCCAAATACTCTCACCAATAATTCAATACAACCCCCACTTAATCATACTTTGAAAGGTAAACTTTACTCAACAACAACATGGGATTTAATACTTACTGACAATGTTGATAAAATCAGAATGCTGGTAAGAACCAATTACAACCAAGCAGTTTTTAATGGTTTAAAATCCTACTTTCTCAGACAAAATTGGAAAACTCTTTTTAACGATAAAAATGTTGAAGAGTGCTATCGCATGTTATCGTGTAGTTATGAATGAACTTGTGTTCATTGTTGTGAACCATGTTCATTGTTGTGAACAATGTTCATGTGTTCACCATTCAACCATCAGATCCCAAGCTGCTCTATTCTAATATTAACAGAAATCAATTAAAGAACGCCTTTACGCTATCGTTGAGCAAACTGGAATTATTTGATCCATTAAATTCCAATAGAAATGTCAAATATTTTAAATATGCAGTTTTTTATTTTGTTTTTTATTTAATTTGCCCCCCTCCAACCCCTCTGAAATTTATTTAAAAAAAAAAAATTGTTGATGCCAGCATGACCTCTTCCTTCCCCCTTGTCAACAATAGTCAAAAATTTTCAGAGCTGCCTATTTTTTTGACATAAATAACCAATCAAAATATTTTTGTCATTTTTTATCATTTAGTATTTTTGTTTTTACAAAACAATTTTTGTGCTTTTTTTATACCTTGAACAAAAAGATGTTATGTGAAAAAACTCTGTATAATCCAATAATCAAATAGTTGAAAAAAACTTAATAATTTTTAATTTCTGTGTTTGAAAAAAAAAATTCAATTATTAGGCCTAGTAATTTTATAAGGATCAATAATGGCAGATTAAAACATAATTTTATAAAAACCAATAATGGGAGATCAAAACATAATTTTATAAGAATCAATAATGGCAGATCAAGACATAATTCTTCCAAAATTAGACAATCATTGATTGTTGATCAGCCGTTATTTCCGGCAATATAGAGTAGAAAGAATAAAAGTTTCATTTACTGCCTAAATCAAGGAGATTATGGATATTATGTATCAAGGAGATTATGTAGGAGGAACAATTTTCAGCAAAGAGACAAAAGGGAAAGGACCAGCTTTAAGGTAGTAATAAAAAGTATAATTTTAAATCTGGTGAAGAAAAAGTTTAGTGTTTTAGTTAAACCATGGTCAAGATACATATTTATTATATTTATTCAAGATCCAAATTAAACTTTACAATTTAATATTAAAAAAGATTTTAAAAATATCTAAGTTTCACATACCTCCAACCTTCTGCTTCATACAAATATGAAACAATTAGAAAGCCAGTTCGGTTAAATCCATGTGTACAATGAACACCTACAAACGAAATATATATTAATCAAATCATGAGTATATAAAATACCTCTTATTATTTCATGTGTGTTAAAATGACTTTTGTGTATGTTAAAATGTGTCATTTCATATAGAATGACCAAGTATTAATGATAAAAATGTCTAAAAATAAAGTTTCAATAAAAATAATTAAAAATATTTATAAATATAAATCTCAGTCAATTAAATAATTAACAAAAAAAGCTGGTGGGTTTGAAGCCTCCCCCCCCCCTAAAAAAAAAAAAACCCAGCTATTAGGGCCCCAAAATCCTTAAAACTTTTCCATTAGGTATTACCAAAAAAAAATTCTTAAATTTGCAAAACGGCCCCTAAATTTCCAAAAAGGCCTCTAAAAATTGCTAACTCCCCCCCTTCCCTAAAAAATGCTGGTGGGGAAGCCTAGGCATGGCTTCGTAATTAATAAAAACCAAATCATAGCAGCATTTCATACTTGCAGTAATACTGACAACTTAACATTTGAACAAGGATCCGCTCTATAGAATTACTGAAACTATAAATCAAGAAATTTACAAAGATATATGTAAGACTATTATGTTGCATTATGCAAAGAATAAAATGCCTCGACGATGGGTATACAAACAGGATAACAATCTCGAACATGCAGCCAAATTGGTTTTAGAGCTTTTCAAAAAGAATAAAAATATTGTTTTGAAGTGGTCATCCCAATTATGTGACTTAAATCCTATAAAAAATCTGTGGGAACATGTTTACCATCAAATAAAAGGAATCAAGTCTACAAATCATGCTAATTTATTTATCAAAATCAAAGAAATATGGGGCTCAATTTCCATTGACGTTTGCATTCATTTAGTTGACTCTATGCCTCATAGATGCTAATCTTTATTGTAAACGATATCCTACAAAATACTAATGTGATTTTGCTTTTATATAAATTTGTGATCAAATATTGTTGAAAAATTTGTAATATTTAAAAAAAAACGCATTGTCCGCAAATTTTTGAACTTATCATAAATTGTTAATTTGAATACCAGTTTTAAAATATTAATTAGATAATAATTATTTTTTCAAAACATAATTGTAAACTTAAAAACTTTTTGATTGGTATATAATATGTTGGCTTGAGTTAAGTATGTGCTGATATATAAGTAAAATTTCTTTTTTTTGGCCTGTCCGCAAACTTTTGGACGCTACTGTACATCATCAGTACATTAAGTTCAGATCAAAAATATCTTTACAGTATCTGTTTATCTATTCAATCAGGGAGGTTTCAAATAAAATATATAAAAGTTCTCCTGGAAAATTCATCATGCTTGGTGGCTCACAAAAGCAAATCGTGTTCTACGATTAAATTTTTCTACAGTAATGCCAACTAAAGAACTTGCTGACTTGCTTACAGTTATTATGCTATGCTATGCACAAAGATGTTTCCATGATAAATCACATTGTTTGGCAATAGATGGCGTTCAAAATTTATGGTATCTGGTTTAATTATTAAAAAATGTAGTTATTGATGTAAAATATAAGAAGGTAATATTTTAAAACAAAACATATATTTTGCTTACACTGAAAATATATTATTGGTATATGATGAAAGAAAAGAAATTTGAACTGCAGTCATACAAAGGATACTCAAGTCCAGAAATACTAATGAACACAATAGACATTTAAAACTTGCTGCAACACTAAATCTTGGAGCAAATGATTACAGTGAATTGATAAATTGGGACAATAAGGAAGTTAATTCACCACCTTTACTAAATGTCTTTTCAAATGAAAATATTTTGAAAGTTAATGACAATCCATTAAGTATTCCAAAATATCCTTGTCATAGTCAAAATTTAGAAAGAATTGTTGGAATATTCACAAATTTCTTAAAAATAAAATCATTATCTTAAAGAAAGCGTTTTTAAAATTGATTTCCTTTTTAAAGCAGTATATTATTAGAGGATTTATATTGCAAACTAAATCACAACAGTTAAATGGTATTTAACACAATCAAGACGAAAATTGCTAACCTTAACCTCATTTTTCTCTGATTTTTTGTGCAACCCCTATGGAGGCTAGCAGAGACCTCAAAATTGTTAAATAACCTTTATATATATGTAGGAACCCTACACAATATGCTGCTTCTTGAAAAAAAAAATTTGACCTGTCCTAACACATACATACATACATACATACATACATACATACATACATACATACATACATACATACATACATACATACATACATACATACATACATACATACATACATACATACATACATACATACATACATACATACATACATACATACATATATACATACATACATCAACCCTTAGAATTAGGAAAAAATTTTATGTTCAATTTTTTTCAAAATTTAGTTTTATTTTTATGAAAATAATAGACAAAACATTTACGACTTTCCGTGCATGATTTTTTGGAAATACCCATACAAATATAGATATATATCTATGTCACAGTTAGCACAGATCCTGATAATGCCTACCTAGTTGACCTAAGAATGTGACTTTTTTTTTTTTTTTTTTTTTTTTTAACATCTTCACTTCCAACAAGGCTGCAAGCAACCACTATAAGAGTTGGAAGTTACTGGAAGAGAAAAGACTAAATCTGTAGAGCAAGATAACGATTGACTGATGACTTAAAAGATTGCAAATTATATGAATCAGGAAAGCAAGATGAAGGAAGTGAATTCCAAAGAACTGATGTTCGAGGAAAAAAACTAGAAGAATAAGAGTTTTTGAAGCATTTAGGAACAGTCACAGAAAAAGGATGAGACTTAATTGAATGGCGAGTAACACGAGAATGAATTTTAGTAGATGGCACAAGGGACGATTATAGTATTTGTAGAAAAGAGAAAGAGAAGCAACATTACGACGATGTGACAAAGGTTGGAGATTGGCTGCCAGAGCAGGTCCAACTATGTTTACAATTCGTTTTTGCACCTTGTCTAAAAGAGAAAGAGCATCATTAGAAGATCCGCCCCAGATGTGGCAACAGTATTCCATACAGGGACGGATTTGAGATTTATAGAGATAGAGAATAGAATCTGGAGTAAGAAAGTGTCGAGCTCGATAAAGAGATGCAACCTTAGCAGATGCTAATTTTGCAATGGATTTGATATACGGTTTAAAAGAAAGATCAGAAGTAAGAGTTAATCCTAGAAAATGAATGGTAGATGACTCATCTAGTACATTACCATTCATAAATATAGGAAGATCTAAATTATTACGATAACGATTGGCCGAATAAAATTGAGTTTTATCTTAATTAAAGTTCACCAGCCACTGTGAGCCCCATGCTGTAGCAGAAGTGAGATCCTTTTCAAGCTCAGATACCCCCTCCAAGCAATCAGAGAGTGTAGGCTTCTTATCATGACAAGAGTAAATGGTAGTGTCGTCAGCGAATAATGCCACCTTAGATGTGAGAATGTCTGGAAGATCGTTAATGTAAATTAAAAAGAGTATAGGGCCAAGGATTGAACCTTGAGGAACCCCTGAAGTTACAGGATGTGAAGAAGAGTGTTGTCCATCGAGGACAACTTTTATACTACGATTGGAAAGAAAGGACTCAATAATCTTAAAGACGTTACCAGCTACACCATAAGAAGAAAGCTTATGGAGAAGACAAGCATGCCAAACTTTATCAAAAGCTTTAGAAATGTCAAGTGCGATAGCCTTAACCTCTCGACCTCTATCTAATGCACGGTAAAACCTATCGGTTATTACTGTTAGCACATCAGCTGTAGAACGAGAAGACCGAAATCCATATTGATGATCAGAAAGTAAGTTATTTGATTTAAGATGAGAGATTAAGTGTTTGTTGATTAAAGATTCAAAAACCTTGCTTATGACAGGAAGAAGACTAATGGGACGGTAGTTAGATGAATCAGATCGCTCTCCGGAATTTTTGAAAATAGGGATAACAGATGCTGCTTTCCAGCATGATGGAAAACAAGACTCTGATAAGCACTTGTTAAATAGTTTAGAAAGTATGGATGAAAGCTCCGGAGAACACCTCTGCAAAACTACAACAGGAATGTTGTCAGGACCACAAGCTGTTGAAGAGTCTAAGCAGGAAATTACTTTAGATACAGAAGCTGAAGTGATGCGAATGTCAAGCAAGGGATCAACCTGTTTGACGGCTATGTCAGGTAAAACGCAACTAGTGGAATCAAGAAATGATATTGATGAAAAGTTCTTAGCAAACAATTCAGCTTTGTCTTTAGGTGAGGTGACAAAGTCTGAACCATACAAGAGAGAAGGAATAACAGATTTGCCCTTATTATTGATACTGTTAAAGATTCTCCAGAAGTCTCGAGAGCCTAATTTTTGTGATGAGATACGAGATTTAATGACCTGGGAATACCGAGCTTTGGCGTCAGACAAAACCTTTTTACAATGGTTTCTGGCGATAGTGAACAGATGTCTGTTTTCTGGAGAATTGTTTTGCTGATAGATATGGAAGTAACGGTTTCGATTAGAAATTGCTGCAGCGCAATGTGAGGAAAACCAAGGAGAAGAGTGAGGCTTGACCTGGAATCGTCGAGAGGGAATAAAAGATTCCATGCCAGCCTGAATCCACGAAGTTATGTAAGAAGCACATTTGTCAGCAGGAAGACGAAAGATTTCTACCCAAGGGCCATCACGAAGAAAATCACGGAAAGAGTCCCAGTCAGCTTTAAGGTAGTTGTATGTGGTACGATGATAGGGGGATTCTGATGAAGTAGAAGAATTTGATAATAGTTTTAGAGAGATCAAACCGTGATCAGAAGTACCTAAGGGTGAATGTGGAGAGATTGAGCACTGACTAGGATCCAAAACAAGACATAAGTCGAGTAGAGAAGGTAAATGATTAGGGTTGTCTGGAAAACGAGTTGGAAAGTTGACTATTTGAGTTAGAGATTGAGAAAGGCAAAAGTTGAGGGCCTTAACGCCAGCAGAGTCACTGACACTAGAGCCAAGCCAATCGGTGTGATGGGCATTAAAGTCACCA